TGAAAAGGACCGTTGGGCTTTGGTGGAGTTAGTAGCCTAATGCTCGCCCTTCGTTCCTGATGACTTCGGGGATAACGTTTTGGATGTGGTTGATGTACCCATGATCATGATGTTCTTGGCGCATGATTCAACGGTTACTCTACATGTACTGTACATGTAGACAGTAGTACACGTGAACTGATTCTGGAAGTATTGGGGAAGGTGAGCCAGTAAACTAATAAACATATTACAAGTGCATAGTTGATTGAACGAAGCTGGCCCAATGAGCCATTCGATCGATGAATTGCATGGTATTTTTATGGTGTCACTAGGTGACCATTGCAAAAAGCCATAGATGGGCAGGTGGCTCACTGCCAAGAAAGAAGCGTGGGCACGGTGCGCGACCATTGAGGTGAGTTAATGCCCCATATGTGTACCTGGTAACATGATGGGCTAGGTGATTGGCCAGCTGAACGACATGAATGCCTAGTATTAACACGTGGGCATCATGTGGCAGGTTTCTCATGTTTGCTGAGCAACAGTGTTGGCAAGGCAACCGTGACGTTTAAAATTACAGCTACCCGATTGGTTATTAACCACAATATCCAAAACTTGGACAAATGGTACACATTACAAGTGTGTTGACGGTAAACCTTTCATAAATACCATTACTTCCAAACATGGAGAAACCGCCACATCGGTATTTTCAACATTTACAAAACTGGGGTAGCATCTTCATCCAGTTTTCCAGCATTTGTATTGAACATCGATGTCACAGGAAGAGTTTAAGGGTTTGTAATCCTAAATGAAAAAAGGTAAGTCAGCGATAGGACAGCATATATATTATTGCCACGTCTTTTAAAGCCGCATCTTAAAAAGTTACAATTGACCTTTAGCCTAAATTACTGATTTCGAGCATACAAAAGTCGGTTGAGCACTAACAGTTCTTTCATAAAAATGGTGCAGGTCACATTTACCACAGTAAATGCTCAGCTTAACTCTAAACTTCCAGGGTGATTCCCGAAAGGACACTTCTCCATTCTTGCAAATTCCAGCGGCTGACCGTGTCAAGTGGAATAAATAGGAGACAAGGAAAACCCCAAATGTGATAGGCTCTGGATCATTTTGTGAAACTTTGTGCTTGTTTCAACGAGACAGGTTTTGAGTTAATAGAACTATTAAGGCCAAAATGTGGGACATTTTTCATCCTCGATAAATACACGTACATGAATTCCGATATCTTTTCATCACTAGACATTTAAAAGGTGAATCAATGAACGTGTGAACATGGTGTCTGTTATTAATTCTTTCAATACCCAGAACATGGAAGTTCAACTCATTTACAGCATACTAGGGGGGCTCAATACCACAAACTAAACCACGTTATGCACTCATACTACTCTGTGGTTCCCTTGCTCCATAAGGATTGTAAGGAATTGACTTACATGTAACAGTTTTCCCTGTGAGAAGAAAGGCCGACGGAATTTTGAATGCTCTATTAAACGAGCAAAAGTATCCAAAAAAGAGAAGATTTTTCATGTTTTGGAGCGAAACAGTGGGTTTACAATTACCATGAAATTTGCCGGGCAGCCTGAAAAGAACGTGACAGACAAGAAACCAGGCAAAACCAATCGTTTACGAAAACAGTTACACTGTACCCAGAAGACTCGGTCAGATCAACATTTTGTTCTATGCATGAAATCTCTGTAAATTTCCCATGTTTGCACTGTCAGTAAATGCATATTTTAGGATTAGATATATTTTTCGTAAAAGTTTATTGCCAGGAATTTTTATCCGCTTTTCTCAAATGTTCAGGAGTGCAACTGGGACCTTGGCACTATAAATAATCTTTTCTACATATAAATTTGCTAGTTCATAATTTTGCAATTCGAAGTATTTTCTGTTGGGTTTTCTCATGTATCGTGCTGGGTCATACGACCAGGGGCCGATAAAGTAAATTTAACATTGCTTGCTCGTGTTGTGTGTCTGGTGATGTCAGTTGGGAAAAACAAGAGTGAACAATTGCTTCCTTGTCCCAGGAATGGGAATTTTTTTAATCATTTCTCCCAGGAATTTCAAGGAAGAATCAGTAGCACTGAATTTTTTTTCTCGGCGTAGGTCTAAGGGTTGTCGGTTGGTTGTCTATATCTCCAGTGGATAAATTTGTTCAGGTCAATCAAACTACATGTCGCACCATGTCCACAAAACGTTGTTCGTATAAGTGTGCTTGAGGATGTTTGCATTTACAGATACCTTTTCTCATACAAGTTTATATTTTACAGAAGCTTCCTGTCAACTTTCCGTGAAGTGGATACTTCCAATGCGAAAAGCTTTGTCAAATGTGTGAGGATTTATCTGGCCACAGGGACACTACTCGCTGTTCGTTGGGAGTTGTGAATTCATTTGCTTCGATTACTGACAGTTTTACAGATGTTTGTTCTCAGTCTCACACAGGACTTACAAACATTTCCTTTTAGGCTGTGTGTGTTTTCGTGGATCGCGCTGAATATGGGCTGATAAATAAGTGAATTTGACACCAGTTTGCCGACCGCTTGGTCGTGTATCGTCTAGTTAGGTTAGTTGGGTAAAGCTTGGGTGAAAAATTACGTCCTTGTTCACACAATTTTGAAGGTCAGCATATTTTTTAAAGAAAATTGAAGACAGGGTCGGCTGCATAAAAAAGTATTCTTCGGAGATCGAAGCCACAGGGTCGATTGGGTGGTTGGTCACCCGTCCACTGAAAAAAAATCGTTTCACAACAGTCAACTCCAAGTTTTGCATTAAATTCGCCGGGCATGACACGGTTTCTATAAATTCAACAAATTACGGCTTTGCTTTCTGCCAAAAATCCGTTTGCATGATCGAGCAGCTAGGAAAAATAATTACATGTATTTCAAAGAACGGTTTGCAAAATCATATTTGGGGATTGGGTATATTCTTTTTCTTGTACAAATTTATATTTTACAGAAACATTCTGTTGGCTTTTGTTTTCGTGAAGAGGCTACTTTGAACGCAAATAGTTTTGTTAAATGTGTGGGGGTTCATCCGGCCGCTGGGCCACTACTGCTGATTTTTGTTTCCGTTGGAAGTTATTGAATCTTTGTTTAGACCACACACTGCACTTTTGTTCTCACACTGGACACCAAAATATTGTCTGTGAGGCACTGCGTGTTTATTTGTGTATCGTGCTGAACATGAGCTGATAAATACATGTATGTGAATTTGACACCAATTTTCCCAGTGCTTATTCGTGTATCATGTTCGGTGACGCACGCGGGGATTGCGGTTGACTGTAAATGGCATGGATTGGTTGGGGCTTAGTGGTCTATCCGGGCTAACCGCAACTGCTTGTATTGCGTTCTTGCACACACGTTATAGAGAGCATGTCTTCCACTCCCTATACACGCACGCACGCTGTATCGTGTATCGTGTAAACCTTTACTCTGGCCGTAACTGTATTAAGTCCAGTAAAAGGCGATAAACTGTTGTTAGTTATTAAATAAAGGAAACAAAGATTAAAGGAAAAATAGAGCCAATGTTCGAAGTAATTACTTTTCTTATTCGTCCGCATGATTTCATTTTTCAAACAGACAATCTTGCGCTAAATAATACCAACACAAAACCTTAAGGCATGTACATGTGTGCAGAGTCACACATATGGCAGCACAAAGCTGGTATATTACAGGAAACGATTACTGAATGATGACTCGACAAAAAGATAATCACTACGAATCCACCAGCACCAACGATACACCATCTTTCACATTAGTTGGGCCAAATGACAAGCCCCATCATCAATCAGTCAGAGGCGTGTTTGGCAGAGGTCAGCTTCACGCACGAGTGACTCCTCGCAATTTTGCCATCCTCTAAAGCACACACTGATTCTCGACGCCTGCGCGAACTCCCCCCCATACCCGCCCTATCTTGCTCAGCGCTCGCTCGATCTCGCTCGATGTGAATTCTTCAAAGGAGGCCTAATTTATTGAGGGACACACGAGTACTCACACCTCAAAGGGTACTTACTCATGGATGGCGCTGTACATATGTAAGGCAGAACATCCTTTCACAAATATTTTATTAACCACTACAGATTTATCAACTGGTCTCTATTCCAATTACATATACAAGTACATGAAGTTAAGAAATGTTGAACCAAGTGGGTCACACTTCAGAAGCAACACTGATACCACCATCTGCTACCATTCAAGGGGCATTTTTTTATTGATCAATATTATCAAAAATCAATCAAAAGTCTGTTGGTAAAATCTCTGATAAGCTACATGTAAGTGTATGTACGTCATTTGGAAAAATTTGATTATCTAGATGACACCATTAAAAGATTTTTAAACAAAATACCTGCATAGCCATTTCACAGTGATACTTACCGGTACATGTATGTGTCATGTGATACCACCTTGAAGGTGCATTCTTCACAGCCAAATATCAAAGGATTGATACTGGCCAACTGATTGAATGTTATTACACTGTATGGTATGTACTGTATACGTTTACATAAGGGAATAAAATATGTGCTTGTCTAGTCTTGTGTGTTTAACTGAGGCGGTCTTTCCCATTCATAAATACCTTTTTAGTAAGACAGTCAAAAGAACTCTATATGATGGATTTCTACCGATTTTGTTTAGAATTTTACTTTTACTTTCCCGAACACCCCCATCCATTTTATTGAAACTTTCTTGTGCAAATAGTATACTCCCCCGGGAGAGTAAGAATGTTCAGATGATGTGAGCCCAATGTGCAGAGATAATGATAATAAGTACATAGAGACGCTCCGTAATATTCGCTATATCAGACAGATTATTATTATTAAATTGTCTGCACACAGACTCTTGACCAATTAGAATCAATTAAACTGTCTTGTATCCAGGTGCTAGCACATGATTTATGCAGCGGGCATTATCACTTCTCAGTGGGCATTATCAAATGTTAATACATAGTCAAGTTGCACATTGTTGAAAGGAAGATTGTCTGAGGTATTTATGAATATAGAGTAATAAACTAACCTTCAAGGAGTTCAACTTGCTGGTGAACCAACAATTGATCAATCTGTGTGAGGTACTCCAAGCCTGGGGGACAGTCTGCAGGGACCTGAGCTGCTTGTAGTTGAAGTCCTGCCTCCAAGCTGCCTGGAGCTGGTGGAGGAGCTCCCGCAGGCCAGTTACCAGGTGGCACTGCCATACCACCAGAAGGTTGCTGTTGGGGATTCATCACAAGATTTACGTGTCTACATGAAAATAAAAGATAAAATAAAAGAAGATTCCACTTACATGTACTGGTAGTGAATACTGTCGTAGATTAAAAAACTAAGAAAGGCCAGGAAAGAAGCCATACCGGGTAACTATGTACTGCTTGTCGTGACAAGCAGTACATACAGCAGTGTTGTATCCGAGACCTTGATGTCCGAGACCAAGACCGAGACCGAAACAAGGCATACAAGACCAAGACCTAGACCGAGACCTACTCCTTCAAGACCAAGACCAGGACTTCGAGACCGAGACTTTTGCAGGTCGAGACTGAGACCACGACATCCGATACCAAGACCAACCATAAACCAATGTTTACTTTTTACCTAAAGGTAAACAGGGACTAACATATGGCAGTACAATTAAGTACAAAAGAAATGAAATGAAAAAATTAGCATGAATACACACACACAAATTGGTCATTATAGGGCCTTGATGTTTTTCTGATTGGAGGTTTCAGAAGCTGCAATGTCACAACATGTACCGTAACGAAACTACTAAAACAACATGTACCACACACAAGACAGAATGAAAGCACTTTCACATGTGCACACAATTCATAGCGTGCGCACACACACAGACTGCTTCCCGTCCCGGCTCTACGTTCAGCAAGAGACTACATAGGGTAGGAAACCAGTCTAGTGTGCGACTTCCGCTAATCACAACTTCATCTCCATGGTGTCAAGCAACATGGCTACTCTGGATTGGAAATAAAGTTACAACTTGGGACAGGGTTGCATCATGCTACATTGACTAGTCTTCATTCCAGCATCGATTTCATTGTTTACTGCAAAAAATTTGAACATTATTGTGTTGTATTTATATCAGTGGTTGAAGATTTGACTCGAGTGGAGGTAATGCCTGCAGGCGTGGTAGCTAGATGCGCGCATTTTGTTATGGTCTCAACTGGTCTCGAGGGGGAGACCCGAGACTATGGCATTCCGAGACCAAGACCGACGCTTTCGAGACTGAGACCGGCCCTCCCAAGACCGAGACTTTGACAGGGCGAGACCGTGACCAAAATAAAAGGTTTCAAGACCGCCTTGAGACCTACAACACTGACATACAGTACCTCTCAGAAATATAAGACTTTTTGCAATCGATTTACTGCAAAGAATTCTTTGCAAATTGGGTGTAATTTCAAAAGTAACACTTGTCCGAGGAGTCCTTTCTTTCACGAAGGTAAAGGCCGATTCATGAAGACTCAGCCACCGCAATAAGGGAGAAACGCAAAGCACTGTTTGCAAAACTCTGGGCCCCTCTTCACAAGCGATGCGCGAACATAAGCTTAAATTTGCAAATGCAAATGACGCCTAACGTTGAAACACACATAATGCCAACTTCCATGTTCAGACTTTGAAAATATTCACCAACGGAAACACCTTCACAATCACAAACACCATGCCCAGAATTGGAAGACTTGCCCAGAATTGGAAGATTTGGTATAATAAGTATTGCCGCTATATTTAAAAAGAAGGCCTGCCGTTTAAAGATGCAAAAAAAAAAAAGCTTTTCTTCGGCAGTGTGCTAACTTTTCGCTCACAAAACCCTTGTTTTCACAACTCTCATGGGTCTGTTAAAACCACTTGCATGATGAAAAACCCCTGTCCACTTCCCATCCCTCCAATAAAACTAGTGTGATTTTTTAACCTCTTTGCAATGACAAGATAAGCTTTCACACAAAAGTTGGATGCCTTTTCAATCGAAAATTAACATGTCATATCGATGAATTCACTCCCGGAATCAAGTTTGAACCACGTGCTTGGCAGTGTCTGCATTGACATAATGCCCATTTTCATTGGTAGTCAAAGTCTCCATAAGCCGCATAACACATTTTCCAGTTGGATGAAATTTCCTTGTGATTTCTGAGACGTCCACAATACAGAAGTTGCAAGAAAATTCACAGCGACTGGCAATCTGATAGCTAGTGACATTTATTTATGTCTGTTTTGACCAATCTTTGCCAAATGTTATATTTCTTGCTTAATTTCACTTGAAAGTGTGATTATTGCAGAATTATCAAATCTGTTTTTACAATTAACAGATAAAAACTGATCAAAAATTAATAGATTTTTTATTGAACAAACAATTCAAGTGATTTTTTTTAGTGCTTTAGGAGACTAAGGAAACATTCACTGATCTTAAATCTTAATTTTTTATTTTCTTTAAATTTTTCATCCTCATAGGTGGCCTCTTGTTTTCTGTTTCCAGTGTTATTGAATTTGGTGTTAATTTTTTTTACAAACATTTTAAGCTACTAAGCTCCGTAAAACACTCCGTAAAGCACTGCCTTCACATTTGTGCTCAAAGTTCTTCCTGAGAATAAGGATAACACCAGAAACTTTTGCTGGTTCAGAGAATGTTTCTTTTACCGAACACTTTAATCCACACAAGTGTTTCATTTTCTATCAAAAAGAAACTCTATGGCTGTTCATCTCTCTCTAGTAACCTTCTTTTTTTTGTGGATTTGAAATAAATACCCGGTAGAATGGGTAGAGGGAGTTTATTTTTAGGGCAAAAAGTAAACGATGTATACTACTTTGTGTAACGAAAAACAGAATGAAAATCCCCTCATTTTCTGTACAGACTACTAAATCGGAGAAAAAAGTTGCAGAGGTAAACACAAAATACATGTAATTTGTTTTATGCTGAAACGACAACTGCCCAGATCGTACACAAAGTTATAGTCATATGGTAAAGTTGAATATAGCATAAAGAGAATTGAAGAACAGTTTACAGCTGGGGTGGATTTTCTTGGCAAATTAATGCACTGCATTCCCTTTCATTTTCATTGCCTTCTTTTTATTTGATTTTGTACGTGAGGGACAGGGTAAGTGGTGCCCTTGCCCTCCCCTGATGTGATGAACACGGTTCCTTCTATGGTTCTTGTATTTTTTTATCTTTGGGGAGGCTGGGTTGATTGGTTGGGGATTAACCCCTTCACACCGGGAAGCGAAAAGAGCCGCCGTAATAATTGAGATCCCTGATGCCCTGGCTATTGTACACATGGTGATTGGCCTTTGTGAGTTGCCAAAAAATGAAAAGGCCGAATTTGCATCATAATCACCAGCTTCACAACAGTCTCCACTTTGAAAAGAGACAACGGGACTGTGGAAGCGTGAATAGAGTCGCATGCCGCCGAACAATGAGCCCTTTCACTGTGTAAAACAAAAAGTGTAGAGCACGCAGGTCCACAAACCAAGAATTTGCTGTTTAGCAGGTGGCCTTCGTGGCCACGCATGGCTGGAATTCTTGGAGTCGGCTTTCAGAAAAAAGCCCCGGCGTCAAGCGGTTAAGATGACAATTTTTTCTTTATGTTCTAGACAGGGTAGGTGGCAGAAAAATAAAAGAATTTTCTTGGTTGAAAATGCCAGTATATGTAGAGGGTTGGTGAAATTTTTTCGGTAAGAACCAAAAATAAGGGTAAGTCGCAAATGAAAACCATAGAAGAAACAACGTTTGACCAACATGTACGGAGGAAACGAGACATACGTGTAATTATTTTATGTTAAGTAGCTCTTCCACTAAGCTATTACATTGTTGTGTCACTTGTGAACTCTAAAGGAATTCTCAAAAAGTGAATGTTATAAGTGGTGCCGAGTGAAAGCGACTAGTTGAGTATTTTTCAGCATTCAGTTCTTGTACTGAGTGGGAAATTAAAAAAAGGAACAAAGTCAAAACACGGAGAGTGCGTTGAACATTAATAGAGTATCAAATGCCTCAATGCATTATAGGGTACATGAGCAAACATGCATGATGGAGACACAGGCCTGACCCCAACTTATTACGTACATGTACATACTGTACATGTACATGTACAATTTGCAACACAAGTTCCACCCCTTACAGCCTCTCCTCGGGTTGTGTTACTTTGTATCAACAAAGTGAACGCATGTGTCTGCCAGTAGTCTAGTATGTGTACATGATACAACATGCCTGTGTGTATCTCATCATGAATAACTCTGAATTTGATTGCCATCTTAAATAAGCTTTGCGCGCATGTAGACTACATGTAGATCTGTGTAAATTCTAAATTTTTATGCTATACTACTTTCCGATCATGAGCATCACAGTATGATTTATCCGGTAACAATGATATACATGTACATGTACTTTCACGGGGAAAAGTGCTAATTTCAAGTGTTTTTGGTGTGATACCAGTCCTACTTGGTATTTGAATGGGAGTTTTGCCAACTTCATGGAATAATTGAGACCACAGGTATTTCTATTTCTTCCCATCACTTCCCTTCTGTTTTTCTCCAAGGCGTGGTCAAAAAAGTAAGAAACAAAATGAAATACAACAAACGAAGAAAAACCTAAGAAACTTGGATGGAACAGTCTTAGTTGGTTCGCTGACTCAAATGTAGGCTGCTTTCAGCTGAACTTGGTTTCTAGCCTTGTTCCCAGATTTTTTTTTTCAAGCCCTCGATCTTAATCTGTCCCCACTGAAGTTTTAGTTGGGTATGTAGAAATTAATGATGTTAAACACAGTGAATCGTGCTGTCGGCATTCAGGTTTCTTATCCAGGGGATAAAGGGACACCGTAGGCTAGATTGGTTCCCATCTATGTACCGTTTCCTCCATATTCCATGGTTGAGAAGGACACTTACATGTATGCTTATTGACTATTAAATCTTCACTTTGAAAGTACACTACTTTCTAACCTTCCTCTTCTCCGAAAATGTGTTTTATTGGGGTAGCGAAAACAAATATAATTTTTCCATTTTTCGCCCTCCTCTTTCAGTGTTGCTGACCAAAATCTTGAGGCTTTACAAGCTCCAGCCTACACCGAAGCTTTAGCCTAGATTATGCATGGTTGGCACACAAGTACTGACGAAGCTTGTGTTCATCAGATTCACGAAGTACCCAGCAATGCACTTTTACATACATGTACATGTAGATGCGTATGTACATGTACTGCATACACACTGTACAGTACACAATGAGTGACGCCTAACCCTAAAGTGCATAGCATGCACATTAGG